TGGGTTCACAGAGTGATAGAGCATCGCTTGATGTGATATTGCTCAGGGCACCCTGATGTAACATGACACATGCAGCGGAAACAGCACTCTCCATTCCCACCACAGCAAAATACCCCAGATACCAGAGAACCTCCAGATACTTCCTTTAACCTACTACTGGAAATAAACGTGGCTATTTCAACACAGCTTTAACATGCATCATGAAGGCAATCCTCAATCCAGTATCAAGATATCAGGTGTATTTTGAAAGGGGTGATTTCCTTGTAATTTTTACATGGAAAGATTTTCTGACCTTCCTGTCTTCAAGAATTTCATAAAAGCCATAAAAAGCTGTATGCACACAGAGCCAGTTCAGAAAGCAGTAGACAGCAGCCAGGAAGTCTCAGGGTTGGGGCAGCTCTACATTTCGGATCTAGACATTTTTAAGGCCACAGGGGTCCAATCCAAAGACTTTGCAGGAGGCCTGGAATTTGCTTGTACTGCCTAAGAAAAATAATGAATGCTATGACTCAAGTCATTATTTACTTGGCTGAAGTATCATAAGGGTATTATGAGGAATGAGGAAAAAAGCAAATACTACAATGGGGATGACAGGATTGCTGGTGGGACGGGTCATGGGATATACAGTCAGTCTTTTATTGTTCTTATTCTCCTAGTGGCTAGCTCATATCCAGCCCAGTTGTTTGGCAGTTACTGAAAGTTACCAGTGTGAATAAGGCTACTTGGTTGCCTCCCAAAATACACCACAGTGTTGAGCACTCATTGGGCAGTCCCAGCAGAGGACTGAAAGGGAACATGGAAACTAAACTACCCTCTCACCACTGCGTGGGCTGGTCAGGCCAGTGGTTCTCATACTTTAGTAACCCGAGGATCCCCATTTTGATTTAAAAATTTTTGCAGCCCCCCAAGCCTTCCCCGCTCAGCCTCTTCCCCCAAGGCCTCACCCCACCCCACCCCTCTAGGAGGGAGGGGGAGAAGTTGATCAGCGGGGCCGGCGACCCCAGGTATGACTCACGGACTCCTTGGAGTACCCTTGCAGGCCTGCAGGGGTCCACGGATCCCAGTTTGAGAAACCCTGGGCTAAACTATATTAGCCAGATGGTATGGGGGATCTGTCTGTGCTGTAAGTGTTCTGTGAATAAACAGAGAACTTCAGTTTGCAGGGGCTATCAGTCCTGCACCTTTGATGAGCACTTCGATTAAACAAACATGTAAAAATGTAACTAAGGTCAAATCCTCTCCTCCCCTCCCCCCCCGCCCACAGTTCACCCACAACTCTCCTTTTGTATCATGATGAACTAATTGTACATACCAAGGGAAGAATATCACTTAAGTGTTTCTACTGAACATTGAAAAAAAATGTACCCTTGATTTTAGAGAACGTACTCCTATGTATGCTATAGTATTCACACCGAGAGACCACACAAGCTGTTACAGTTTCACAGAAGGCTGGTAATTCTTTTTAAGAACTAATATATTTCCTTGTCTGCTGTTTGTCCTGTTTTATCTACTCTGAAACATTTTTGTTAGTAATGCACCTCATTTGCTCGCGAGCAGATCAATATACAGGTTTTTGTTTCCTTTTTTAAAATGCAAAATATAAAGAGAAAATCACAACTTTGATCCTGAAACAGGAGTCAGTGGAGTCAGAAAAGGATTGTCTGTGTCTCAGAGACTGGGAGAGCTGGGAAGAAAGAAACCTGCGCTGACCCTCTGTTGTAACCTGATCCAGTTAAAGAGGCACAGGGATTACCATTTATAGTGTTTCTCAGGGGTTGGGGTGAAGGGCAGGGAGTGCAGCAGACAGTTCTCAGTCTGGTTGCATGGGCCAATAGCTGCAGCAAGGTTATAAAATGTGTAGACACTGGAGGCCAAGGAAATACATATATATATTTTTTTGCTTTGCCTTTCGTGCTCCTGACGTGTTAACAATCTCGCAAAGCACACATCTTTCTAATGCAACACAAAGTCTCCTGTTAACTCATCTTCCAGACAACCTCCATTCCACACACAATTGGGAACGTCCTGTGAATGCTGGGAAGGTTGCTGGCTTTCCTTCCTTCCTCCTCTTCCTGGTCACTAAATAGAAACACAGGTTAGGTAACTAAATCAAAGCAACAGTGTTTGGGTGCAGTATTAGTGGTTTAACTGACAAATTATCCACTATGCAGCCAAAAACTGTTCTTCTGAAAAAGCTTCATTGTGTTTTGCCTTGGATTATTACAAAAAATATATGTGAATTCTGTGCATATGAAAGGCTGGTGCCTCTGGAAAAGGAGACCCTTCATTTACCCATGGAATACACAGAGAACAGCATCTTCCATCCGGCCCCATCTGTCTCTCTCAACCTGACCTGGAGGTCTACTTCTAGGGCTGGGAAAGCAAGGTTGCTCCCCACGCTCCACCTGCTCTTGGCCTCTTGGTTGAGACTGTCAGGAAGCAGGCCAATTAGTGCCAAACAAGATTGATTTGGGGGGTGTGGATACTTATCCCCAAGGAGCGGGGCTGAGGCCCCACAACTTAATTTCATTTGGGCCTCTGTACAGCTATGAGATAACTTTCAGGTCACTTGACTTGGAGTGGATTTGGACCAACTGAATTCCATGAACCAGACTCATCGGATTTGTCCCAGCATCTGCGCTCATTCAAAATTGGAGGGGAGGGGGGATCAGCTGTTTTAGACGATCTTCTAACCTTCCCAAAAGCAGCTGTTTTCAGCTCACCACATCAGTAACACCAGACTAGGGTTACCATATGTGGAGTGTCCCAAAAGAGGACACTCCACGGGGCCCCGGCCCCGCCCCCCGCCCCGCCCATGCCCACGCCCAAACCCCGCCCCCTCCCCCAAAGTCCCCGCCCCAACTCCGCCCCCTCCC